GAAGAAGATGACAGAATTCAAAGGTTTCAAATGCCAAACTACAAAAGTAGAAGTACTTTGTTGAGAAATACCTGGGGGTTGTCTACTTTGAATTAGATGATCAATAAAATGAGATCATTCATGACCCTTCAGAACTAGACACCAGCTGATAACATGAAGAGTATTACAAAGAAAGCCTGATAAAACGGCTGAAAACACGTCAAAAATAAGCCAGGCCTAAATCTCTGCTTCCTACAATCTCAAATTTTGACTAAATAATTGTACAAATGGTTTTCATTCAGTGAGAACATCACATGTACACAGCCAGCATCACATATAACTGCATCAAAGTAAGAAACAAAATAGTAAATCAGAGCCTTTTCTTGTTTCCTCTCTTCATAGTTATCTGCCATCCACCTTCCGGCATGGCAACAGACATCTTTGCCCATTTTCGGCATGGTGACCACTGTCAGAGGGCAACAAAATTACTTGTTTTTTTTTTCCAAAATCAGGTTAAAATTAATGTGCGCGCTGATGTCATCCATAAAAACTACTTGCTATGGCCTAAAGAGTATTACAAGAAAGCCTGATAAAACGGCTGAAAACACGTCAAAAATACGCCAAGCCTAAACCCCTGCTTATACAGCACGGCGTGTTTTGATGTATAACTCAGAGTTCACTGACCTCATGTATAATGCAGGAGGAAATGTTTTTCCGAACCGGCGGAAGAAGAAATCGATTTTTTCTCTAGCCGCTCACTCACTTCCTTGAAGAAGGGAGATATCTTAAGATTTAAGATTTAAGGTTGACCCCACTTAGATGTCATCAACCTTAGATGACGGAAACGATTGTGGCAAAGATAAGGCCGAAGGTGGAAGTGAGGTACTACTGAGGGTTAAATCTACCACTGGTCGTGACTCGTGGCAGGAAATGTAGCCGCTATGTACTGTAGACATATATATATATAGGCTCATTGGACCGGGAATTTCCATAGCTGTGGACATGCAAAATGAAACGAGGACCTCCGATAGCCTCTACCAGGCTTAGAAGCGGCAAGAAAGCGCCAGAAATTGGGAACTATTGCTCACTTCAGCAGAATTATAGAAGCGGCTGGAAATTGGACACTATAGCTATATAGAGATACAATACCTGAGGTCTATTTGTCCAATTTCTGGTAAAATGTTGAACTCTATTCCAACACAACAAGTACAGAAGAGACCAAATTTTCTGGGCGGCCAACTGCTCTGGCCAATTACATCTCCTTTCAGGCTGATTTCTACTATTTATTCAGCCTGCAAAGGAGTCTGTTTGAGGTTACCAGAAACCGAAGAACGGACGTGATTATCAGTGAGGTACGAATGGTGAGCAGACTTGACACACGATAGGACTGCTCTTCTTTGCTTGCGTCAGGAAATAACGTTTGTAGACACGCTGTCAGATCAGATGTCACGAGCACAGGTCAATAACCCGTGGCTCTAGATAGGATTTAGGTCAGTGGGTGGAAGGTGAAGAAAAGTCAAGCCTATTATATATGAATCTTTCGTAAGGCGTAATCAGGCCGTTTATATATATCTACTGGCGACTTTGGCCTAGCCAGGGTACCATCCTATTTGTATGCCGGGGCTCCCATACTCGCTACCCTAAGCTAAGAATAGCGAGTATGGCAGCCCCGGCATACAAATAGGATGGTACCCAGGCTAACTTCGGCCCGGTCTACACGGGGCAAATAGATCATTTGGCCTGCTTGACCCAAACAGCAGTCTGGTGGACTCAGAGAGGCAAGACATACGGTAAGGGATTGTGATATCCGGAACTATGATAATTAAGCCAGAAGCATGATCAGGCAAGGTTCTGGATAGTCCACGCGCATCCAGAATCGTGCAAAACTTTGAAACTTTGGGCCTGGGGCAAATGTACGTTTTTGAATACAAGGAGACTATCCAGAACCGTGTCTGATTCAGGCATAGAACTAGATAGGCACGGTTCTGAAGAAGAGGGATTCCTCTTTCGGTGAGCGCATTTATAAGTGGTCAATGGTCCATTCTTAGAATTGCTGAATACGAAACCGAAGTAATTTGAGGTTGTTTTTTTTTAAATAGTTTTAAATTCTCATGTATGACGGCGGCCACTGGCGTCGTATTTCTACCGTAGATGTAGATGTGTGCAGATTTGGTGACGATTTTTTAATATCAGTTTGTTTCCGTGCAAAAATAATAGCTCCATGGTGTGGCCCACTGGTGTGGCCAATACTTCCGTATGATATGAGTCATGACCAGTACATGTACCTCCTTATGTGCAATATTTGCGTGCGCCCTAAAGTAAAAGCATATAAGGTCTACCTCAGTTATCTATGTATGATCTACATACATTGTTTAGTCTCCGTGCTATCCCAGTCTTCCGCTGGTCCAATAACGCCACCTAGCGGTGGCAGTTGGCAGGACAGCACGATGTGGTGATAAATGCGTGACTAGGAAGCGCAGCAGCGTGCTATAGCAACCTAAGATAACCTTAGTAATGCTACATTGAGCACGCCCTACAGCAGACTACGAATACACTGCCTTGGCGAAGTGCAGTTTCTGTAACCTCTAAGCAGATATTCTGCACAATATCAAATTGGCAGGGCAGTATCCTGATTCGCTGCGGTAAAACAAAATACTAGTACTAAAAGAAAGCCCGATGAAAACGCCTAAAAACTAAGCGGAAGCTTAAACCTCTACTTTGAGGTCACCTTTCCTTGGTTGTTACGTAAAGTGTTTTGATTTTCTTCAAAGCGATACTAGCTACCTTTCAAGGATTGGAGCTGCCGCCTACATCAATGTAGGAAGATGAGGCAGCAGCTGTTACATTTGCCCTGGACAGGAAGATGTGAAGAAATAAAAGTGACAGAATTCAGGTCGTCCGAGTCGCTACTTTTGTGGCAGCTCATGTGTATCTATTTACCGGAGGTTGGTCGGATGTTCGCATGCGGATGCGCTGTATAATTGGCCTCGTTAGTGACTTATTTAACGTCCGGTCGCCTTTATATAACAGCCTGCTCTACATTTTGATTCAGTGCGAACATCACATATACACAACCAACATCACATATCACTGCATCAGAGTAAGAAACAAAACATTAAATCTGAGCCCTTTCTTGTCTCCTCTCTTCATAGTCATCTACCAGCCACCATTTGGCATGCCAACAGACATATTTGCCCATTTTCGGCATGGTGGCCACTGTCAGAAGGCAACAAAATTTCTTGTTTTTTTTTTCCAAAATCAGGCGAAAATTAAGGCGCATCCATAAAAATTACTTGTTGTGGCCTTATTTAACGTCCGGTCGCCTTTATATAACATGAAGCCTGCTCTACATAAAGCACATTGACACACATTCAGGACCTTTCTGCGACTTTCTTTGCGCTAGACCGCTCGAAAAACTAGGCCGGCGCTGTTTTTGGAGTAGCCTGGAATTTAGCCTAGTCTAACTCAAGTTCGCTGACTCCGCCAAGTTTGATTTGTCAAAATTCCATACACAGCTGGCACAGGCGGTTTTCAAAGACTTACTAAACAGCCTCTCCGACCAACTCCCAACCACAAACAGCCGTGCTCACGACCAACACTCAACCGTGTTCTGGAGAAGATCGGGAGGCAATGCTGGTTGAATATGGCCCTCTGAATATCCCAATCTGCTGCGAACTATTACAAATCCCAGCCGTTTAGCAATGTGTCTTTCTGGTGTGCAATTGACTGTGCGTCTATCTACTACTGCCCAGGATGGTGAGAGTGTAGTACAGAGTAGCGCAGAGCAAATCTGGGCCACGTCCTAGCCTCCACCAGGCCATACTAAGGGGTTATGGACAGTAGACTGGTGCAAAAAATGGTGAATAATTCTCCAGGGGAGTAAGCCTGTGGCAAGGGTAACAATTATCCATCGTGGGCAAATGCAAATACATGTACTAACTCCCAAGGCAAACTATTCTCCCTCTGGGAATAGTTTCATCAGGTTGGTAAGTCACTAAATAGAGATACTTTTTTTTACACAACCAAGAGGTTTATCCAGCCGACGTTTCAGTGATCGTCTGTCACCTTCCTTGGGGCAATTCTTACTGGTTCATTGTACAGCAATAGATGCGTTCCAAAACGCGTTTGTAAATACTTTGCGTTTGGTTACAGACTACCGTGCCCCATCTGCTTGAATCCAGTCCGCTCTAGATCTATGTGGTTACGTGTGCTACGTGTATGAGGGCACGCTGTGATCACATTACATTAACTCATCAGCGCGCACAAAGCCACTTACGTCCGTCTGTCCTAGGGTCGACGTGACGCTTTAAACTCAATCACTCCTTACCGTACATCTCAGCCATTATCAAAATACCATTACATTAGAGTAACGTCGTTTTACAAATGGTAAAACTACATCAATTTGGATATACAAACAGGTTTAGTGAAGACGGTTACGTGGTGCGTATGTTTGGAAGAAATGACATTTGGGTCGTATTTAATTGGGTCACCTTTCTTTGAACCTGAGCGACCGGCATCAACCAACAACCACCTGTCGGTCGTTAAGGTGATCACGTGAACTAAATCCTTTGATCCTGTTGGTCGCTGATGCGATCACGTGGGGTAAATACTTTGATCCTATTGGTCCTTGGGATAATCTTGCGCTAAGCGCGTGGGATGGGATATGTACAGGGAGACAGACTCGACTCATTTTCGACTAGAAGTGACGAAGAGAAGACCTGTATATAGTCTGTCCCCTTCCTCTACCGTACTGTTATATAAGGAGACTGTTGGGTCTATATTTCCAATGAGTTCAGGAGTGTTGATTGTAATGTCCTCTTGCTTCTTTCTTTGTTCTCATGACTTTTTGCATGCCTTAGCAAAGTACAAAGTCATGACAATGAATTCTGTTGGAAATATGATCATTGACTGTTTTAGAGTCGAATTAAGATCTTGTATTTTTGAGATTGTAAGCTTTAGTGTGCAGTTATTTTACAACAAAGACATTAACGGCTTGTTTTCTTCTTTTTGTGTTTCTTCAGGTCCGAGAGTTTCTTGAGACACGCCTTGAGAAGCGATCAGCTCTGGTCACCCTTCCGGAGGAGGACCGAGCACCTACCCTTGGGGAACACCTTCCGAACCACCACCTGTCACTCAAACGCGTTGCCATGGTGAAGGAAGACGGGATCGAACACGTTGTTCCGCACGCGGCGGACAGCACGTACGACTCCGACGGCCACGCCCTCGCCGCCAGCCAGATGATGGGGGAGGCTGTTGCCATGCCAACGGAGTCTCTGGAGCTGCAGAGGGTGCTGAACGTGCGCCGGAAGGACGTGCTGAGTTCCCGGAAGCGGCGGGAGTTCATTCCCGACGAGAAGAAGGACAACGCGTACTGGGACAAGCGCCGCAAGAACAACGAAGCGGCGAAGCGGTCGCGGGAGAAGCGGCGGCTGAACGACATGGTGCTGGAGACGCGCGTGCTGCAGCTTACCCAGGAGAACGCGCGGCTCCGGGCGGAAATGTACGCGCTGAAGCAGCGGCTGGCGGAAGTGACGTCGGGCCCGCAGCAGCGGCAGTACCTGTCGGGCCCGCCCAGCCCCCCGGCCCCCGTGCAGTATCCGCACGTGTACGGTACACACGGGGAGCGCACAGCTGCGGTCTACACGCAGCCGTTCCTAAACCCGGGGATACAGTCGCCGGGATACCCGCACATACAGGAGCAGCAGCAGCAGGCCTGGTACGACCGGCAACGGGACTTACAGTATCAGCAGCGACATCTAGCGACTTCCAGATACGCTGCAGCCGCGTACGACGCAGCTGAGGCTGACAAACCCCCGCAGCAGCAGCCCGTTCTGAGTAGTGACCATTCGCAGTGGGACACTGAGAGCACGACGGAGGAAATGCAGCCCGTCGGCGGCCTCACGCCGCAGGCCGTAGACCTCAGCTTCGCCAAGGCCGAGCGGTTGAGAAAAGGTTCCTCCGAGGACGACAACAGCAGCCTGAGCGAGTGCCACTCGCCGGTGCCCGCCGAGCCGCTGTCCCGCCCGCCCAGCCTCAGCCCGACCGTCCGCAGCTCCATCCTCAAGTGGGGCAGCGACGAGAAATGCCTGCCGCACAAACTCCGCCTGAAGCTGTCGGCGCAGCACCGCGACGAGTCGGCGTCCTGCCACAGCGGCGATAGCGACACGTCCCCGGACTCCCCCGTCATGCCCGTCCTCAGCGGTACAGCAGAGCACCCTAGCGGCGACCACCCCGAACTGCAGACCACCACCACGCACCTGAACAACAGTAACCCGCGGGAAGAGGCGCGCCGCTCCCTGCACCAGCAGCCGCCGCGCCCCGGCAGCCCGGCCGACCCGGAGCTTCAGGAGAAGCGGCGCCGGAACAGCGAGAAAGCGCGGCGCAGCAGGGAGCTCCGGCGCATGATGGTGAGCTACCACACCTCGCGGTCCACGCACCTGCAGACGGAGAACAGCCACCTGCGTCAGGAGGTCTCTCTCCTCTCCGCAGAGATCTTCACGCTCAAACACATGCTGGAGAAGAAGAGAGAGGCCATCAGCTTCGCGGAGGCCGACAGCATCGACGGATCACCTCACAGCGTGGACAGCCTCATCTAACCCGCATCTCATCTATCTAACCCGCAGCTCCTACAAGCGGAGCCAATCACGAACTGGCCCGATAATACTGAAAAAACATAGCCTGTGACACACACGCAAAACGTTAATTTTCATTATAACGCGTTTCTGACAAAAGACCGAGATGTCAGGTAGCTTGAGGAATGAATCCCCTCTACTATATACTGCGTACTTCTCAATGGATGGATCCTTGCTGCAGCATCTTCTGGACTTCCGGACCCAGAACGATCCCGTACTTTACAAGCCATGTCGGTCAGCTTGAGGAATGAATCCCCTCCACTTTATACTGCGTTTCTGACAAAAAAAGTAATACTTTGAGTGTGCCGCAGGCTTTGTTTTTCAGTATTATTGAGGCGGTTTGTGGTAAGTTGCTTTGGAACTGACCTTAGAAACGACTCATCCGATCAGACATTGTCACACGGACGTTTCAACACCAGGAGAATTAAAACTGCGGTGGTTTGAGTAAAAAATTCTCATGAACTTGGACTTGTAGTTGCTACAGTTCGCGCTGGACGTACATCATTAAACACAAAGAACATTATTGTGAACTTGACTTTGGTTACCAGACGGGGGGGGGTGCTTCTTGACGCTGCTGGCAGCAACATCGCTCTCAAAACCTCACACACAGAAAAACTGCTCGACTAGGTTCCGTTCTTATATAAAAAATATCGTCGTTATAAATATAACTTATGGGCAAAGTTTTGCCCGAGATGAATACTTATCCAAGTATCTCAATGTCTCGTCTTACTAACAGCTGTTACATTAACAGTATCAATTCTATACGTACTTGTGTATTTTTTAAATAATAATTATAATAATATGGCTGTGCGGCCTGGATCGCTTATATGATATATATTTAAGACAGCAGCGCGTATCTTGATACGATATCTGCCTCTACGTATTTTTGAGAGACTATATATGGGGTGTCTGTCTGTGCTGTAGTTACCCATGATCGGTAGACATAGCAGAATAAGCTGTTGTTATTGGTCAGATGTTTTTGTGTGCAACTGACGCGCATGTCAGTGAAACGCTGTCCGTCCATTGGAGGAGGAAATCACGTGTCATGCTGACGTGATTGTGCTGTATAAGGCCATATCAACTCTATTTTATGGGTGACATCTTCCAAAAAAAACAAAATTTTGTGCAAGAGCAAAAAAATGGAAACACGAAATTCTATTGGGCGAGTCGTTAGTAGAAAAATCAACATTTGGAATGTCATTTATAAAGTTAGCGTTGTGTGGCCTGGTAGTAACTATCCACTTAGAGTGGTTTTGTATCGTGATGATTCTGTAATATATGTTTAAAGATAGCCTGTACATATTTGGTATTGTCTGAGTCTGACGTATTCCGTGCTTGCTGCCGACGTACCCAATGACGTCGTACTCAGATGTGCACAGACGTTGATGACGTTGTACACAAATGTTGAAAAGATGGTATTTTCTGGAGTTAACTTTATTTTCCTGTGGAACTTTTGCACCCAGAGAGCTGTACTGCGAAGTGTGCTATCCGATGGACTTTAATACAAAAGTTGAAAATATTTGGTTGTTTGTTTGTTTGTTTACTCTCTTGTTTGTGTGTGTGTATCTGTGTGTGTGTGTGAGTGCGTGTGTTTGTGTGTGAGTGTGTGTGTGAGAGAGAGAGAGAGAGAAAGAATGTGTGTGAGTTCACATGTATAATGGCCTGAAGGGATATGTATAATTATGCATAACCGGAAAGGGGTTATGTATAATTATGTTTATGGTCAAAAGGGTTATATATAATTATGTGTAATGGTCCAAAGGCTTATATATAACTATAGATAATAGCAAAAAGGGATATGTATAATTATATATAATGGGCAAATCATTATGTATAATTATAGATAATCATAGTATAATTATATATAATTGGACTACTCCCTAGGGACCAATTGACGCATTCCGCATAATTGTCACCCTCTGCCATGGACTCATGAAAAATATTAACCGAGTAAAGCATTCTGGAGTTATTGGCCTGGAGTCCGGAATTAAATTGTTTTTCTGAAATTGAATTGCGGCTTGTTATGTGTATGTGTGTGTCTGTACGTGTGTGAATGAGGGCACGTGTGTATGTGTGCACCGATGTGTGTGTGTGGCTAGGTAGGGTCATACAAAACTTATCATCTGTCCAAGGTACGAATGAAGATAATCCTGATTTTGGCATTCTTATGAAGAAGACATTTACCCAGTTAGTATTAGCAAGTATAAATATGAAATTTCATAGCAGCTTATATATAATAAATATATAAAAACTGGAGGAATAAAACACAAAGCAAAAACCTTTTTTCATCAAATTTTATCTTGGCAAGATGTTTCTCATTTCCGCTCCTTTTAAAGAATATATCAATCAAAGCACTATATACAAAAACATTTTTTATACGTCAGCTTACATTTGATAATACACGTTTAATAGTGAGTCCTTTTTCGTTGGCACTACCTTTTTACTTCCTTTAAATTCATGATTATATAGACATAATATTATATGTCTCTGAGCATTTAATATCAGCAGCACTGATAAACTGGCTTGCAGTACCTGGTAGAGTCAGAAGGTGGCACTGCACACAATGTATCATTTCCACCCAATAGAAAATTTATTCCTATCTACACTTACAGTTTTTCGTCAATGCACAAAATGATGGTACTAACATATCGTTTCCACCAAGATGACTCTATGCATCTTCGGTGACACCAGAAAGAAGAAACCTTCTCCATGCTAAGCCAGCATCCTTACAACAACTTTGTACCAGGTACAAGATGCACCATCTAACCCAAAGTTTCTATTGTAAAACATAGCATGTCTGTCCTTGGTGCTGAACCCATGGTGCTTCTATTGTATCTGTCCACCTTGTCTGAAACCTCAGCCAAACCAGTTCTATACTTACGTTTGTTTATGCAGCATATTGATACAGATACAACCTTAGTCGGCAGGGTGACTGTTAAACCTTACACCATCAAGGTATTACACACGGTACTCTTCCACATATTTTCTTGAGGAAAATAATTCAGTACACAAAGTTTACCTTATGTGTAACATTTACTCTAAGAAGTCTATCCCACAAAGAGAAGTGGGCATAAGAAGAGAAGAAAAAACTGTTCCACAGCATCTTATACCTTGTGTAAGTAGAATAAAGGATATAATATCCTTGGTAGGATACTACTAGTACATGTATATTGTACATGTATGTTGGCAAACTTTGGCAAAGATGACAAGATTGAATTAAAAACATACAAACATGTTTTGTTTAACTTTTTTCCTGCTGCCTAATCCTGTAACCAATAGCAGCCAACTGGCTACTTCACTTCAGAATGGCTACATGTACTTCAGTGTGCTAAAGGTTAGTTAGAATAACTGATAAACGGACATGAAATGAACATTTTTTTGTTTAACGAGAACAGATGAACTAGTACTGATGAGGTCCTTACGTCTTGTTCAGGAAGAAGAACTGCCCCACAAAGTTAGCGAGTCCCAGCAGGATGATAAAGCCGTGTACAGCCGCGGTGGGCCAGGTCAGTCGGCCTGCCTGCTTCAGTATCACTAAGTACACCAGGCACGGTAGGGTGAAGATGTAGGCTAGACCACAGAACGCTCCAGAAAATCTGCAAAGACATTTGTTTTCAAGCCTTCGTTAACAGTTCTCGTTCGTCGAGATACATTGTGGTCAGTCAACTTTTCTTGACAAGAAAATGCTGCAACAATTGAGGTGTGAAGTAGTAGGTTGAGGATTGCAGGACACTCCAGAGAATCTAAAAATGATTGAAAATGTGAAGAATACATTCATGTTTATTTTTTAAGAATTCTTCAGCTATAGAGGAAAGGATGATAAAGCCGTGTACAGCTGCAGTAGGCCAAGTCAGACGGCCTGCCTGTTTCAGTATCACTAAGTACACCAGGCATGGTAGGGTGAAGATGTAGGCTAGACCACAGAACGCTCCAGAGAATCTGAAAAAACAGTTGTTTGATAGCAGTTGTCATCAAGCAAGATATAACATAAAACATTGTTACAATGACGTGTTAAGATGTTGACAAAACCACAGATCTAGAATGCTCCAGAAAATCTGGAAAATATAGTTTTACAGCATTCATCATCAACCAAAGATAGGTCAATCCACTTTAAAAATTTACCGAGTCAGACATTAAAGTGCAACTACAATGAGCTGTTAAGATTTGGGCAAATCCACAGAACACTCCTAAATATGTGACGGAAGTGATACATGATATGTACAATACATTCACAGCGTCACTCTTCTAAAAATCCTTCAAGACTTTAAGTACAATTCTGTAGTTATGTGCTATAATACATGTCTGTCCTATTTAGTATATTAAGTATGAATGCCCAGCCTTACCTGATGATGGTTCCTATATGAGGTAAGAATCGGGCGAAGATGACACAAACTCCCACCAGCAGCAGGTTCAGAACTATCACATGGACAAAACTGGAAAAAATTAAAAAATTTTCATCACTATCATGAAAGTTCAGTCCTAGAGCACATACAGTCAACAAGTTCGGTCATTTCTGAAGTGAACATATTCACATACCCGGTAGTCACCTGGACATTCCGTTTTGCTGGACATTGTTAGAATACTGTATGCTGAACAAGACTACTTCTTTAGAGGGGTGAAAGAGGATATCTAAATCAGGGCCCATCACCCATTACTCAACTGCAAAGGAGGCTGACATCATCTACCAGATACCTTTGACCCAGTTTTGACGTCACACTTCAAAGAAGCCATGTGACAAGCTTCACTGGGTCAGTCTACTGAGGAAGACCAGAGTGACTGGTCGAAAGCTCTAGGTGAGAGAACTTCTTTGTGTTGGATCAAAAGGTTTAACTTTAAACATGGATTGAGATCATTTTTACTTGTCTCACCTGGGATAGGTGGACCCAAACAAGGTGTGCATGAACTGTAGTCTGAAGATGTAGATGAGGAGAGGGAAGACTGTCCACATCTGGAACAGGAGGAACACTCTCGCCACAAACGCCAGCGTGTCCGTGTTACTGAAGTTGTTTAGTAGGTTCTGTGGGGAAAAGAAAAGGGAGAGAACATGAAATCAACAACAATACAAGTAAATGTACATCAAAGGTTCTGTGATTTTAAAAATTGGTTCTGTGTTAAAAAAAAAGAAATAATCTTGTATTATAAGCAGTACAAGTACATCTAAGGTTTTTCAGATGTCAGATTTTTCAAAATTTTTTGGCATTCTCTAGATCTGCAGAACTTTGATGAAAAGGTGTACATGTAGAAAAATACATGTAAGTTAAGCTTACTTTGATGTGGGATACTTCAAGTAACATCATGAAAGCAAAGGCCATGAAGGAAAACTTGAATATGTCACTGAATTCACTCAATAAAACTGTGTTGCCAAGGCATTAACCCTGGTCCACAGGCTTTGTTTCTATTACCATAATGTTTATCCAGTGGAGCATAAAAATCTGAGAACCAAGATACTTAATTGGTGTGGTTTAGGGATAAGTAACAGTAATCAATGGGAGTGTTTGTGTTACTTACATCCTCTATACAGTCCTTGTGTTTTGGGAAGGCAGCGTAGAACACAGCTCCTACCACCACGTATGTAACCATCACACAGACGTACGCTATGGTCAGGTCACGACCCTAAATGGCAACAGTAGTTAGTACACTTGCAACACAAACATGTAACGTTCATATATTTGTTACAAATGATGTCTACCAGATACCTTTGACCCAGTGTTGACGTCACACTTCAAAGAAGCCACGTGACAAGCCTCACTGGGTCAGTCTACTGAGGAAGACCAGAGTGACAGGTCGAAAGCTCTAGAGAACTTTTTGTGTTGGATCAAAAGTTTTAACTTTAAAGATGTTGCAATATGTTGAAAATATGGGTAAGTGCAATTCTTTGTGTTGGAAATTACAGTTTAAACTTACTGCATAGTGTTGTGATAGATAAACATTGTGAACTTATGATCAAATAAGCATAGGGTGTGAAATAAGCATCTGATGTTGGTTTCAGCACTAAGGACAGGTCAACATTTACAAATAGGAGTTTTATTTACAAACTCACACTGAAAGGCAAATTGCAAGAGGACACACTGACACTATAACTTGAAAGGGTAAAAAAAATTATGTGATGTTTTCTAGGACATTACTGAGGGGTTATACTTCTTGTAAGAGGTAGTGGCTAATGAATGGTATGTAGTGAGAAAAGTAGGTATTTTTTTGTTTTCTAGATGTGAAAGGCAGCATATAGGTTACATAAATTTAGGAGCATAGCTGGGTGCATTTGCTAAAAAAATTAAATCAAATCATACTTTTACTTGTTTCTTTGTTAGTAGGTTGTATTCTTCTTTTTCTTTACAATAGTAAAGATCCCTTAGTTTTGAGATTATTGCTGGTTTGTGCAATGTGTTAATTAGGTGCAAAGCTGAGTGCATGATCCGCTTCATTTTTCCACAGGGAATCCTTCTGGTTCCTTTGTTTGTTTGTTTGTTTGTACTCACTGTGTTCTTGGGGTTCTTGACGTTTCTAGTTATGGACAGCACGCAGTTGTGGATGAAGTATGCCAGGGCTAACGTTCCGGTTAGGGCGGGGAAGAAAGAGCTAATCTCTAACAACGAGAGAAAAAAACAAAACAAAACAGAAAGGACGGTTGAACAGCAGAAATGACGTTGGACTGTGATTTGCAATATTGTAATCATTGATTTGATATTGGCATTTCATCAATCATGTTTTGTAAGTGTGAGCCAATCAATGGACTCACTGTTGTACAAGATTTGTCTTCAAGAATTTTTTAAAAATTTTGATTAGTGAAATTTTGAGAAGACATGTTTGTGGTTGAAGAATGTAGGACGGAGGTTGTCCCACGTTTCCGCGACAACAGGAACCTGCTGGTATCAAAAATGCTGTTCAAGGTCATCCCAAGGACGTGGCGGAAGCGTCCGGGGACTCACGTTGTTTTCCGGGTGCTTCTGGTTCCGACAGATGGACACCGCTGCGTTGTGGATGAAAAATGCCAGCGCTAAAGTTCCTGTCAGGATGGGGAAGTAGGCAGTAGCCTCTGGAAGGGAACAAGACAAAACAACATGGCTGCACACTGTCAAGGCCATGGGGAGGGGGGCAGGGGAAACCAATCATGTTTTTGTCAGGATTGGGAAGTAGGCAGTAGCCTCTGGAAAGAACAGGACAAACAACATGGCTGCACACTGTCAAGGTCATAGGGAAGGGGGGCAGGATTGGAACTCTGGAAGGAACAAGACAAACATCATGGGTGCAGACAGTCAAGGTCATTGGGGAGGGGGGCAGGATTGGAAATCTGGAAGGAACAAGACAAACAACATGGCAGCACACAGTCAAGGTCATGGGGGAGGGGAGCAGGAGAAACCAATATAGGTACACAGTCAAGGTCATGGGGGAGGGGGGCAGGATTGGAACTCTGGAAGGAACAAGACAAACAACATGGCTGCAAACAGTCAAGGTCATGGGGGAGGGGGGCAGGATTATGTCCAGAGTATGAACTGGCATCTGGAATGGACAAGACAACAAGGCTGCACACAGTCAAGGTCACTGGGGAGGGGGGCAGGATTGGGAAGGATGCACTAGCCTCTGGAAGGAACAAGAACATGGAAGCATGCAGTCAAGGTCATGGGGTAGGGGGGCACTGGCATCATTCACATGCAGTACACGACCTTACCCGCAATGATTTTCATGCATGAAACAATTCCCTTATCTGCTGAAAACTTATCAACCAAAGGAATTATCAAAACAGCAACAACATGCAAACAAAACAACAATTCTCTACCTAAAGAACCCATTCCACCTCTCTGACTTACCTTTGACGTCCACATCCTTGCCCGTATGGGTGAAGTCCAGATGAATTCCCCATTGTGAAGCCTTCACACACACAAACACCAGCAGGTACACTACTGACATGGTGCCTGAAAAACAAAGTATCCTAGGCTATTTTCAAGAAAAGCACACACATTGGCAACTCAATCAACTACAGCAATGCAAATCATGCTCAAAAATAATAAAGTTGTGGTAACATTTATATGTTATAAATCTGTAAACCACAGAACTTCTTGGTGGTTTTATTTTCACAATGACTTTTCCACAAATTCAAAACACTGTGGAAACCTCCAAGCTCCTTTCTCTCCTACTGCAAGAACTTTTCTTGAAGAATAAACCACAACAAGATCTTGAAAAGGTAGTAGTCACCTGTTAGATTCAAGTCAATCCTTCTACAAATGTGGTAACTCTTACTAAACAAACAAAATTAACAAAACATAACACAGTAACTTCACTAAAGATACCAAGACCTTACCAAGAGCATTGAACTTGGTGAAGAAAGTGGGAGACTTGAAGTTGAGGAGAGGGAAGACCAAGATGACCAGGAAGAAGGGAACTGTCTTGACGCGTTCCCAGACGTGGTGGAAGGTGTCATCCTCGTTGCCGGGCGTCGCCAGGAGGAACATACCACTGGTGTTCCCGTTGTGAGGGGTGTGGGAGGAGTTCACAGGACAGAGCACTGTGGAAAAATATTCTTATTTTTTAATCTGAAATATTAGGTTTACATTTACATAATGGGCAAAAGCAAATATGCCTATAGAAGCCCTATCCTCAAGAACATAAACAAATATCAAAACTTACATTAAAAAATGAACAAAATCAATACATGAAAAATACAAGATGGAGGACAAAAATACATGCTTGTCATTCACATGAAAGAATGCCTCTCATTGGTCCATGAAAGCATGACTCTCATTGGTCCACATAAAAACACAGGCCTACCATTGGTTAAACACTAAAATGTAAGTCTTTCATTGGTTCTTCAGGGATACCTCAGTTGCCATTTAACATTTCAAATTAATAAATAGTTGGAAAGACATGGGAGTTAGGTTTACATATATACTAAGACTTGAACAATTCTAATAGAATCTGTTTTCTTACCTTCAGTTGAAGCAGAGGTCTCATTCCCTGGTGTGTGGATATTTTCTGAAATTGTAATTTTGTTAGTCAGCTTTTCCAAAAGTCGTTTTAGCTAACCAGGAATATCTGATGTAAACAAACATTGGAATCTTAGCACACATTCTATCATTGTACCAGCAACACATATGCTTAACTTATATTATAATACAAATATACCATAGCATCATAAAGAGTTTACAACACAATATCACAAAAGCAAGTTACAGATTTTTTAAACTACCGCATTTCAGCCTTTCAACCTTAACGTGCCAGTACCATAAAAATGTACAAACAGCTTTTCTCCACACACAAAAAGAAGAAACACCGGGACTCACCGTAAGCAAAACTGACGACGTTGTAGAGGAAGTTTGTCATGAGGACCCAGTAGACGATCATGGCACCCAGGAGAGCTGAGAGTGAGAAGAACACGCTACAGCCCTCCCCCCACCGGCCTAGGTAGTGTCTGCACACATCCGAGAACTCTAGTACTTCTCCTTCCTGGTCTGAGGAGGCAAAGGGCAAAGGTTAGAGGTTACAAGTCAGAGGTTAGAGGTGAGAAGAACACACTACAGCCCTCCCCCCACCTGCCCAGGTAATGTCTGCACACGTCCGAGAACTCCAACACTTCACCCTCCTGGTCTGGGGAGGCAAAGGGCACAGGCTAAAGGTCAGAGGTGCGAAGGTTATGGGTCAGAGGTCAGAGGTGAGAAGAACACGCTACACCCCTCCCCCCACCTGCCCAGGTAGTGTCTGCACACGTCCGAGAACTCTAACACCTCACCTTCCTGGTCTGAGGGGCAAAGGGCACAGGTTACAGGTCAGAGGTGAGAAGAACACACTACAGCCCTCCCCCCACCGTCCCATGTAAAGGGCGAACAGTTATGTTAAGATAGATCTTATTCTTAGCTAGCTCATTGCGTGACGTCATCACCAGACGTTACATATGTCAGCAAGTCCAGACTTCGTGGTAGCCAGCGACATTAGGGAGTGGGCAAAACCTATGGAGGATAGCAACCTGGATAAAAGGTTTTACTAAGACTGAAGACTTCCTTACCAACACCATCCACAGACTTGATGACTCTGTAGCAGGTGTAGAGGGTGATTCCTGCCATCACCACCATAATCACCAGGCCAAGGACAAACCCAGCCTGGAACAAACAAACAAACAAACAGCACATTAGTAGTGTTTGCGCTTCTACTAACTACTAGTATCCTGATTTTGTGTTGACAAGGGCAGTGGTTCAAAAGGTCAAGTATGCAAAAACAACAAAATAAATCAATAAATTGATTTCCTGTAACTTCATTGACATAACCCAACCCCACAAGTTGTCATACTTCGTGCTAACAAAACCAAGACCAAAGGCATTAATTAAAAGAAATTGGACACGTCACAAGAAGTACAACATAGAAGAACTGACCTGTCCGAGTGCCCAGGGCATACTGAGAAGGGACGTCCCCATCATGGTGTTCCAGATGGAGAAACTATAGATGGGAAAACAGGAGTCAGATCTTCATAGGTGTAACTATCACACTAGAAATCAATAAATGAAGTCTTGTTCACTAGTACAGGTACATGTCTCTCCATGTCACACTGTGAGTGTATGTATCACTGTATTACTGACTTCATGTGGGGCCTGCACACGTGTACACTGGTAAATTAATTTGTAGGATAGATACCACAGATGTACAACTGCTTAACCCTTGTCCTCCTGGCATTCCTGGCACAATATTTTTCAATAATTTAATATCTTAATAAGATCATAGACCCCCAATTTTTTTTGCCCTGCAGTGGCATAGTTACTTCCACATTCGTTGCGTTTCGCTGCGGTGTGATGCGTTGCACGAGAAATACCCCCAAATCGTACCTATACAGGGTGTTATATAGATGGTACTGTATGGTTAAGCAGTTTATTCAAATTGGCAAGGTCATTAACAAAGATAACAATTACATGATTAAAGTCCTATCAAATCTATGATCTATAAATTTGTTAAACATACAGTTGTAGAAACATGTATCTGGATACAACCAGAATATAACTGTCATTAGATAAGCAACATTGTACCTAAAATCTGAAATTGGATAAAGAGAGAAGTAATAACTAATACTCACATGGTGATGAGGCTTCCCTGTTTCTGTGAGGTGTCCACAAACATGGGAGGGTAGAACAGGGAGGCCGGCACGATGTGGTCTGGGATTCGCTGGGAAAACAACAACAACAACATGTCCATTTATGTCTGAACATTTCTGCACATCCTTCAAGTTCTTAGAATACGGGTAGCACACAATGCCAATACATTGAACACACTGTAAGGATTACTATTAGCTAGTATGTGCATCTGTACTATATGCCTTAAATTTATAGGACTGTACAGTCACATGAGGACACAGTCCTTTGATGACCAGAGCCTCCCTACCCCAGTAAATATTGTAGTCAGCTTGCTTGAGAGCTAACAAAACCAAGACCAAAGGCATTAATTAAAAGAAAAGCTTGCTTACTTGAGAGCTGACTGACTGATTGATTGCTTGAGACCTACCATCCTGTGGTCATCAGGAGGAGCGAGCCTGCTGTAGTATCGATAGCGGTTGTAGGTAGCGAGGGTACTGTGTGAGTCCAGCTCCTCTGACGTACGTCTGTTTGCCGGGTAGTGGAACGGCTTCCTACTTCTGCATGGGGGGGGGGGCAGAATCATACATCCAGACCACAACAATGAAACACAAATTTGTCTTTGTCTTTATTTCAAAGCCCTTTAGCCAAAAAAGGCTAGTCTTCCAGGGTTCATACAAAAATAAAAACATACATACAACAGATAACATGATAAAAAAATACACATTTGGTACATAATTTACTAGTACTTTACTGTGCTGTACTTCAGTCTCTCCCAATGTTTGTATAACCGTGATTTAAACTCATTCACTGTTTTAGAGTCCACCACAGACTGTGGCAGGGCATTCCAATACAATTCAGATACAATTTACAAATCCTACCTGTCATTAAAAGCAATAGATACAGATCATATCTGACATTAAAAACGTCCTACCTGGACCTGCTCTTGTCATCCTCTTTGTTAGGACTCTGCCCGGGAGACACCAACCTGTTGGAATGAGAACAAAGTTGAGATTTTTCTTCCAGTAAAGTGCCTTGTTGTATCATTCCCTTCTGTACCAGAACAGTCTTGGTACAAAAAAGTTTAGCCATGCCAATACCGTTGTGGGGTTGTGTGGCGTAACGACAGAGCATTCAGCTCAGAACCAAAAGGTCCCGGGTTCAATCCTGCCAAGTCACCAACCTTGTGCCCTTGGGGAAGACACTTTACACAACTTTCCTCACTTCACTCAGGTGAAAATGAGTGTGCCAGAATGATCATTATGATTCACATTAAAAGAAAACCAAACACTGCTCATACTCCTAGACAATTCAAATTCTACTACTGGATAAATGACTTAGATTACCTCCACAGTTTTCGAACAACATCCATCACTCTTCTTCAGTGTCACTAAATTATGAACTAACAGAACTGGTCAATACTTGAGTAACTGGAAAAACCGGTTGAACATGACAAAAACTAGTAAGGTCATTAATGTGGATCCATTGATATGTAAAGCGACGGTCACAACTCGCCGTGCGTGCTTTTTGTCCGTACGTTTTTGTCGTGGCTACGTCTGCTACGTTTTTTCTGCAAACGTAGGGTGGCCGGCCGAGGGAGTACGTCACTCGCAAGGTGTACGTACGTGGTCTGCACGACACGCCTGGCCGTCAGCGGTTGCGTGCATCGTACGTTGCGCAAGTGGTAAGTGAGTTGTACGTGCTTACAACGCACGATCTCTGTGCGATTGCTACGTTGCCGCGTACAGGCCGTACCTACACGTGCGGCGTACGCACGGTTTCCTTACTCACTCGCACGTTGTAAGTGCGTGCACCTCCTGTTAACTTCATCATCACTAGCCGCCCTGGTGTCTTCCGCGGCCCGTTTCTTTGGGTCTTGTCTGGTAGTCTTCTTCTGAGCCTTCCTGGGCATCTTGGAGACGAGTTGGCAGCCGCCCGTCAAGTTGTCTTTATATACTGTAGAGATTAGGTGCGTTGCACGTACGTTGCACGTGCGTTGCACGTGCGGAGCACCTGGTATGGTGCACGTGTGTTCTGCGTGGTCATTGAGCAGGTCAACTGGGAAGTGAGGAGTAAGCACGGATGACGCAAGTACCGTGCGTGGCACGCACGTGCTTCGTGCGCTGTCCGTACAGCAATTGCGCGTGAGAATAGTGAAGTTAGACTCACGGAGTCCGTACGTTGCACGCTCATAGGCTGTACGGGGCACGCGCGTCGCACGTACTCGCACGCACGGGTGGTAAATCCGCAGACCGCACGTAGAAAAAGTATTACATGCACTTAAAGTTCTACGGCGTGTCTGCGTGCTCCCAAATCCGTAGGATTCCGTACGGAGGTGGTACTCACCACGCAAGGATGCCGTACGATTGCCCACGTTTTTGCACGTAGACAGCACGCAGAAGCACGTACGGCGAGTTGTGACCGAGGCTTAAAGGAAGATAATGTAGTTTCTATGGTAAGACAACACGGGGTCGAGTGGCGTAGCGGCAGTGTCTTCGGCTCAGAGCCAAGAGGTCCCAGGTTCGAACCCTACCTTGTCACCGATCTTGTGCCCATGGGAAAGGCACTTTACGACTTTCTTCACTTCACTCAGGTGTAAATGAGTACCTAGCTTTGGTTAGGGACGTCCCTCGGATAGGACGTTAAATGGAGGTCCCGTGTTTGGGGAGAGCCACACCCCACGCACATTAAAGAACCCACCACACTTATCGAAAAGAGTAGGGGACCTTCCCGGTGTGAGTGGTTCAAACCTTACAGTCCGGTCTTACGCAGCTTGTACTTAGTCTGTACAAAACTGGTGTGTTACGCCTAAAGGCGGTTTACCGGTTATGCGAAACAAACAAACAAACAACACAATAGGAACTGCTTCTCTTGTTGCTCAGGCATACATCACAATACCACTCTATTTCCATAACACTTTAAAAGTTTGGGGAGGGGGGGGAGAAACTTTACATATAAAGGCTTGTATGTAAGGTCATTCAATGACAAAGTATTTCACAATTATGGTACAGGAGCAAAGACTTTGACCTTGATAACAAGGGGAACACAAGAACTTGGCAATTCAAGAACAGTCTTGCGTCAGAAACTTTCGACTCATAACCTAGATATTTTTCCGGTCAAAAACAGCGCACACAAAAAACGTCCTAAAACACTCAGAACTTTCACAACTCACGTTTCTCTGTCGTTTTCCTCTTCCAAAAGATCAACATCTTGAATAGAAGCGGCGTTGGTGAGCTCGTTTTCCGGAAAATCGCCGTTTATTCCGTTTTTTCCGTCCGGAAAATTATTTTCTTGCCCGGCGGCCGCCATGTTGACTACATGTGACTTGTCAGGTCAAAGGTCGTGGGACGGAATGTTAGCCTTGAAATTCAGACTTGTCCATGGGGACTTTAATTGGGTTTTTAAGAGCTAAAAAAACTGCTATTCTTGTAGGTAATGGTATATTATATCTTGTACGAATGCAGTATATCATTTCAAATTTGCTTAGAAAGTTAAATGAATCTCAGGAGCGAAATTTTCTGTAGTTTGTCACTTTTGGCAACCTTAATTAAAACCCGCTGAGAAGTCTGAAATTCGAGACTAACCGCCAGCTGTGCCTGCGTGTGCCGCTACAAGGTGACTATGGTGCGGTGTCTGTAGGACAATCTCCGCTAAAACCGCCCCTCCCCTCCTGTTCTCTGTTTCCTTCCGTCTTATTTCCGCTCCTGTCTTGCAGGGGAAGTCTTTAAGGCTCCTGTCTCGCTGTTAAAGTCTTTAAGAAGCTAGCATGGCGCCCGTAGCGGTCCTTAAGGTGGCCACGACGCCGTTCGAGGGGCAAAAACCGGGCACCAGCGGGTTAAGAAAGCCGGTCCCTGTCTTCCAGGTATTTTGGTTTGTGTATATTTACCGTATAACACATTAAGCATATCTTAAGTCTAACATTTAGATGCTCTGTGCCTTTATTCTTACTACTAGTATTAGGTCTGTAACGTTATATGTATAACGTTATTCGATCATAGCACTAAAACTAAAAAAGTTCTCTCTAGGCTCAGGCATATTAAAGACCATTAAAGGCAGTTTGTGTTAAGAGTATTCTTTAGTTGTTTAAATTCATATTTTGTACATGAGGAACATATAACTTAGGTTTGCTGTTACTCCACCCATTAAATTAAAGTAATCAAAAACACATGTTTTTGCATTTATATATGTGGCCATGCCTTATCTTGTTGTTCTTGGAAACACAGATTAACAAAGATTAACATCACGCTAAAGTAATGATTAACAGGTGAGGGAAAATGGACTTTCCACTGAGGAGAAATAAAAACTTCTTTCAGCATGATTGATAGGAAATAGATTACGTACACTTAGAAGCCTGTACTACACCTGTCATTGACCTTATGTGTTTGAACAAGAAGAGAACAAGCACTGAGCAACTAGAAAGGTAACATTCGCATATGGTCTGCTCTGTTACTCAAACACATCAGGAGTCTACTAGTAAATGTCTCCTGCTATAAAATTGCAACATGATGTAACCCAACTCCAGTTACCATGGTGACAGACATCTGGTTCATGTCACTGACCTTATTGGTTTGGAGAAGAAGAAGAAGAGGGAACAGAGCAGGAACAATATCATGAATATGTTTTCCTTCGTGTAAGGGTATGTCAAGGTCAAAGACGAAGACATAGTAGCTTAGTGACCTCGGCCTCGATGGGTGACCCTTACAAGTTCGTAAGATGGCCGCAGATGTTGTAGATGTACGTACCCGGAACAAATGACACAGGAGCCAGAGCTACATAGTGACGTGACTGTATTCTCTCCTCACACCGACACTGACTTGACTACATGGTTACATGGCTTTTTATACTCTTAGCCGCCTACTTACAGATTTCTTGGAAAAAGTGCATCATACTTCCTGTATCAGTCATGTTGAATCACTTCCTTAGACATTAGTGGAAAATCCCTGACCATTACCAAATAAGGCAACGTCCAGCCACTGGGACCTTAGGTTCCCTGCTGTCAGGACCCCATTAGTTCTTCCTGGGTCATTAACTAGCTGTCAGTCAAAGGTCCTTTACATTTCTCAGAACAGAGGAAAATGATTCAGTACAAGAACACGAAAGTGGTTCTTCAACCTACTGTACAAGAAACTTATATAACCTATGATACTTCTTATTATCAATATACTACAGGCTAGGGCACCCTATTACATGCTCCCCTTTCAAAATGGAGCCGTCCCTGGCGACTTAATTACAGATGCTTCTAACATTAGTGCAAAAGTAGAGAACATATAGAAATATTATCACATAGAAAGTCGGAACAGTTACGTGTTATGAACGGTTATAAAAGCGACGCTTAACAATGCAATAGAAAATACGATCGTTCCTAACAGTACTCAATGAAGAATGTTTCATTCCTGTTGTCTTACATTATTCACATTGGTTCTATGGACATCATAAGTTCAATCCAGTTCATCCCATAATCAACTTCTCTTCATAGTTCCTGGTTCATCCTCGGTCTCCTAGACTCGTCTGCGCTGGTAACCAGTCCCACGCCTTTTCGGTATACGACACGCAGGATCCGCACTTGCATTGATCCTTCCGGTAGCGTGTTACCCGGGGCCCTTTCGGATGTACCTTCGGTGTAGCACTTGGCGCTTGTAGAAGTCCCTGTGGGGGTTGATCGGCAAGCCGGTGTCCTGGAGACGCACGTGACACGGTTGGGGTCCCAAAGAGCCGTGAAATCCTGCCATCCTCACGATAAGTCGCATACAACATAGGAAAGAACACAACGCCACAGTCTGACCGCCGGAGAATCATCAAACTCCTTATTCCTCAAAATCCTTAATTCTTCTCTATATTCTTGAACCTCTTCTTCTCAATTCTCTGAACGTGAATTAAATTTCCAATGCCTTAGCATCAATTCATCAAATCATCTTCCTCCAAAGAGCTGTCACCTATTACTTGTTAGAACAGATCGATTAGCCTGGCCTTTTCTAAATCAGAACAAAGTTACACGCGCCACTAAACTAAGATGTCAACAAGCCCTCTGACAAAACATCATCGCTCCATCTGAATCATTGTTCAGTCCCTGAGGTTTGGGTTTCCAAGGAAACGAAGAGCCCGTCAGAACTATGCATGTGACATCCTGGTGATCACAACAAAATCTACCTAGCTTCTTTCTGGCTAACGAAAAACATGAATCGAACAATACACTCAACATCTCAGATTTGCCGTCCTATATTCCTTACTACTAAATCTGGACCTCTGCGATCTCTCGCCTCGATAAAGTTCTCACTTCTTATCCAGTAAACTTCACTCATCTCTATCTTCAGCATTTAACCAATTACATGTACAAACAAAACCGAAAGTTCAAGGACAATACACCACGACAATACTGGTGACTTTCTATGCTAACCGACATCACAACTTATCTTTGCTACACAAGTTCATAGCACCCTGCCAAGTAATAACCATTAACTTAAAATTTTAGTACATTTGTCAATGTTGAAGGTCCAACTTTCTCCTGATTCACTGTGTTTTCTCCTCCTGGCCGAGATAACTTGAAGAATGGAATTTCACCATGGCAACAGCCAAACACACCAGGCTACAAGGCACGCCTTGCCCAACATTTTTTCGACATTAATTCTAACCCTGGATATCTGAATTCTGATAAAAAGTAGTCATCCAACCGATTCTGAAATCAATTCTTCAATCCTAGAGCTTTTACAACAGCACAAAACTATCCCTGCCAAAATGAACTACAATCAGCATGCCCACATTCTCACCACCCGTAGACCTACGACAGTCCTATGATTCCTATGAAACGAAGCCTCTCATCTACACTAAAAGAATGCAACTTAAGCGGTCAGACAACAACGTATGTGGTTCTACCTCCATTGTCAGCCGGCTGCGAGGCACTATTACCCGTCGCTCTTTCGTCTGCTGGTGTCGTTGGTAGCATCTTGGGTCTTCAGTCTTCTGTAGCCTTGATCCGCACTTGGCTCCTGGTCCTCTGTCCTGGGCGACGTACGCAGCCATCCCACCGCTGCCACCATTTGTAAGGGTATGTCAAGGTCAAAGACGAAGACATAGTAGCTTAGTGACCTCGGCCTCGATGGGTGACCCTTACAAGTTCGTAAGATGGCCGCAGATGTTGTAGATGTACGTACCCGGAACAAATGACACAGGAGCCAGAGCTACATAGTGACGTGACTGTATTCTCTCCTCACACCGACACTGACTTGACTACATGGTTACATGGCTTTTTATACTCTTAGCCGCCTACTTACAGATTTCTTGGAAAAAGTGCATCATACTTCCTGTATCAGTCATGTTGAATCACTTCCTTAGACATTAGTGGAAAATCCCTGACCATTACCAAATAAGGCAACGTCCAGCCACTGGGACCTTAGGTTCCCTGCTGTCAGGACCCCATTAGTTCTTCCTGGGTCATTAACTAGCTGTCAGTCAAAGGTCCTTTACATTTCTCAGAACAGAGGAAAATGATTCAGTACAAGAACACGAAAGTGGTTCTTCAACCTACTGTACAAGAAACTTATATAACCTATGATACTTCTTATTATCAATATACTACAGGCTAGGGCACCCTATTACATTCGGTTAACATGAAAAACATGATGTTTCCTTCTAAGATAGTAAAAAGATAGTAAAAGAATTTTCCTCTCCGCACCCAGGGTGAGCACTATGCGGCTAACTTTGTCCAGAGCACGCTCAGCTGTATCCCGGCCGCAGAGCTGCAGGCGGGGAGCCACACTCTGGTCGTCGGGGGAGACGGGCGATACTACATGCAGGACGCCGTGCAGATGATCGTTAGGATGTGTGCCGCTAACGGGGTAATTAGTAATTAGTGTGTGTGTGTGTGTGAGAGCATGTGTGTGTGTGTCAGCGTGTGTTTGTGTGTGCTTGCGTGTGTGTGTGTGTGTATGTGTGTTTTTGTGTGTGTTTGTGTTTGTGTGTGCGTGTGTGTGCGTGTGTGCGTGTGTGTGTGTGTGAGTGTGTGTGTGTGTGTGTGTGTGAGTGTGTGAGCGTGTATGTGAGTGTACATGTGTGTGTGCATGTATGTATATGTTTATGTGTTTCCATAATTATTCACACATGCTAGGAATGTGCTAAGGTCCTAGAAATGGTTACTAGTATCTTCTTTCCTGTCTCTGATTTCCAACTACATGACGTACATGTACATGGGTATTACATTGTATCTATGTACTAGTATGTCTGTTGGAGTCTGCAGAGGATGGCATCCATAACATTTCCTTGCTGTTGCCTACAGTCAGTGTTTTATGTGGGTCATGGTTAACTCCCAGGTCTATATTTACTTTTAGTACCCTGTATGACAGTGAACATGATATCTACCGAGTCTAACTGTTCTGTTTTTAGACACGAAATGTGATGAACTGCTGCATATGATATGTACACTTTGGATTTAGACTTACATGTACATGTATGTGAATGTAATGTTTTACAATATGTAGTTGTTATTTTACAAATTAAACCATGTACCTTTCAGACATATATCAAAAGATTGCCATCTGCATACACACAATAGATAAAGTTACAGACTATTTATGAGTTTAGAGGTGAGTCTCTTCTCAAACACTCTAACATTATTATGACCCGTCTCTAACTGAAGCTCGGCACTCATTTTCACCTGAGTCAAGAGAAGAGATAGGTGTAAATAAAAGTGTATCCTCCAAGGGCACAAAGTAACCTAGGGTCTGCTAGCTAGGGATTCGAACCCAAAACCTTTAGATTCTAAGCCAACAACCCTAACCATAACACCACCTTGTACCCAACATTGGTGCCTACCAGGGACTCAAGCCCTGAACCTTTTAACTCTCTCTCTCTCTACTATAAGACAACACAATCACAACACCACCTACAGATTTGAACCCAGAACCGTTAGATTCTAAGTGAACAACCCTAACAACAACACCACCGTACCGCCATTTCCAGCTCCGGAAGGTGATAATCGGGCAGAACGGTATCTTCTCGACCCCGGCGGTCTCGCGTGTGATCCGTAAGCGCTCGGCTGCAGGGGGAATCATCCTCACGGCCAGCCACAACCCAACATTTAAACTTCTCTTATAATTATCAGTTTTATCATCACTGTTTTCCAGCTCCGTAAGGTTATTATCGGGCAGAACGGGATCTTCTCCACCCCGGCAGTGTCCTGTGTGATCCGTAAGTGCTCTGCTGCAGGGGGAATCAACCTCACGGCCAGCCACAACCCAACACTGAAACTTCCCTTATAATTATCAGTTTTATTATCACTGTTTTCCAGCTCCGTAAGGTGATTATCGGACAGAACGGGATCTTCTCCACCCCGGCGGTGTCCTGTGTGATCCGTAAGCGCACAGCGGCGGGGGGAATCATCCTCACGGCCAGCCACAACCCAACACTGAAACTTCTCTTATAATTATCAGTTTTATTATCACTGTTTCTCAGCTCCGTAAGGTGATTATCGGACAGAACGGGATCTTCTCCACCCCGGCGGTGTCCTGTGTGATCCGTAAGCGCTCTGCTGCAGGGGGAATCATCCTCACGGCCAGCCACAACCCCGGCGGACCCAACGGAGACTTCGGCATCAAGTATAACATCTCCAACGGAGGTCTGTTGGCTTGTTTGTTTGTTTGTTTGTTTTTTTAATGTTTAAATTCCAATGTTTTTATTCGGTCTACTATACATGTATTGTACATGTACATGTACATGTAGGTGCTAAACATGCATAACATCTCTAACAGAGGTCTGTTTGTTTGTTTGTTTGTTTGTTTGTTTGTTTGTTTGTTTTACCTCCCATGAATGTCTTCTACATGTAAACCTGCCACGTGAGGCCTTAAATTTGACAGCAAATTTTCATCTTTTCCAATTTAAAAAAATTGTTCATACCCAGTTATGCAACCCAGGATTGTTTCATCGCAAGAAATGAAAACAATCAGTCACTGTCTTAATTCACTTATCAACTGGTGCAATGGCCAAGTGAGTTGGTTTGAGTATTGCCTTACATTCGGTAAGTTGTGAGTTTGATCCCAACTGAGTTAATCCAAAGACTTTAGCCTACTCTGCTTTAGTGATTGCACAAGGTTGTGTGGCCCAAGGGGTACAGAAACGGAGATGGGCGCCGCCATATGCACCATGTATGGTTGCAGGGATAACTTTACTTCAACCTAACTTTCATGTCTTCACTGTTATTCTATATCTTACTTCAGAGATTTTGAGATGTTCCTCATTTATTGTTATTTTCTTTACGTAGTTTGCCATGTACATTGTACCATGTGCAATTGTCGTGCAATAAAGTTCTTCTTCTTTATTAAATGTTTTCCTCTGCAGGCCCCGCCCCAGAAGGAGTCACCAACGCCATCTTTAACTACACCAAGACGATCAAGGAATATCTCATCTGTCCGGACATCACAGGTAAGTTTTTTCCTCAAGAAGCAAAATTTTAATTTTGTACTTGAATTTTAAAAGTCACGTAGTAGTAGTAGTACAAAATTCTTTTACTACTTTTATATACACACAGAAGATGGTGATGAGCTAATTTCTGCTAGACAGACAACAAATAGACTTGTGTGTTTCCTCCATTCTGATTTTCAGACACTTAATGTGGCAAATTCTTGTGTTTCCTTCCGCAGTGGACCTTGCTAGCCTGGGTACGCAGACGTTTGAGGTGGCCGGCCAGTCCCAGCCATTTGTAGTGGAGATAGTGTGGATGATGTTAGCCTGGTTTTCAGACGCTTAATGTGGCTAATTCTTGTGTTTCCATCCCCAGTGGACCTTGCTAGCCTGGGAACGCAGACGTTTGAGGTGGCTGGCCGTCCCAGCCATTTGTAGTGGAGATAGTGAATAGAGATAGCCTGGGTTTCAGCCGTCTAAGATGACTAACGCTTATGTTTGATCCCCAGTGGACCTTGCTAGCCTGGGAACTCAGACATTTGAGGTGGTTGCCAACCCTTTGTAGTGGAGATAGTGGACAGTGTAGCCTGGGTTTCAGACATTTAAGATAACTCGTTGTTTCTTCCCCAGTGGACCTTGCTAGCCTGGGAACACAGACATTTGAGGTGGCTGGCCAGTCCCAGCCCTTTGTAGTAGAGATAGTGGACAGTGTGGAGGACGTTAGCCTGGTTTCAGACATTTAATAGTAGTAATACATGTATGTTTTTTTCTTTCCAGTGGACCTTGCTAGCCTGGGTACACAGACATTTGAGGTGGATGGCCAGCCCCAGCCCTTTGTAGTAGAGATAGTGAACAGTGTTAGCCTTGGTTTCAGACATTTAAGATAACTCGTTGTTTCTTCCCCAGTGGACCTTGCTAGCCTGGGTACGCAGACATTTGAGGTGGCTGACCAGCCCCAGCCCTTTGTAGTAGATATAGTGGACAGTGCTAGCCTGGGTTTCAGACGTTTAAGATGACTCATGTTTCCTTCCCCAGTGGACCTTGCTAGCCTGGGTACGCAGACATTTGAGGTGGCTGGCCAGTCCCAGCCTTTTGTAGTGGAAATAGTGAAGAGTGTTAGCCTGGCTTTCAGACATTTAAGATGGCTAATATTTGCTGTGTTTCCTTCCGCAGTGGACCTTGCTAGCCTGGGAACGCAGACATTTCAGGTGGCCGGCCAGCCACAGCCTTTCGTAGTAGAGATAGTGGACAGTGTGGAAGACTACCTGCAGATGTGCCGGGACATTTTTGACTTCCCCACCATCAAGGCTCTACTGGCTACCATCAAGATCAGGGCTGATGCCATGTGTGGAGGTGAGGAGGGTGTTGTTTGTTTGTTTGTTTATGGTTTTCATCTTTGGTAGATTAGGAAGTTTTTGAAGTGTGGACAGCGTTTTATTTAGTGTTGCTGACTGTGGATTACAAATAACTGAATAGTAAGTGTATATATGTTATGTATACATTGTTTTTGTATACATTAGAGCTTGTGGATATACAAACTCTGTTTTGTTGTTTTATATGAAGATTATCCTGTATTTTGTATTCCCTCACACTTCCAGTTCTGATGGGTTGGAAATTTGGAGGCCATTTTCTCTCTACACTCACCTTATGATCATGCATTTCTCTGTATATTTCCAGTTATATATTTACAAGTTTAACTTACATTACTAGTTGGTTCTACTTTTTTCTACATTCTACTTTTTGTTCTCTTTTACCCCCAGTAATGGGCCCATATGTGAGGAGAATCCTGTGCCAGGAGTTGGGGGCTTCGGCAGACGCGGCCGTCAGGTGCGACCCTAAGGACGACTTCGGAGGTCACCACCCTGACCCTAACCTGACCTACGCGGCCGACCTTGTGAACACGATGAAGACTGGAGACTATGAACTGGGTGTGGCTTTTGACGGAGACGGGGTAGGGTTGTCTTCTCGGGGTTGTCGTTGTTCTTTGATTTTACTTTTTTTCACTGATTTTTCTGGTTAAGGTTTTTTTTTTGACACCAATTCTTTCTAGATCATTAAATCTTTCCTAACTTTTCAGTGTTTTTGCAAATCACAAATTATCCTTGATACTGTAATTCACTGTAGTAAAAGTTTGAGGTCTGAGAAAAATTGAGGTGTTCAGGGAACTATATGTTCACAGTGTCGTCAGGTACAGAAGAAAGATACTGTTATAATTAGTTGGTGAATTGTTTTTAACGGTAATGACAAGTTTGCGGTACAGAAGTGACCATGAAAACCATGTACATAAAAGTTCAGTGAAAAAATTAGGTGCTACAGTAATTTGCTACATGAAAATTTTGTGGTTTGGGTTTTTCCAGGACAGGAACATGATCCTGGGACGTGGAGGTTTCTTCGTGACGCCGTCAGACTCGGTGGCCGTCATCGCGGCTAACTGTGACTGCATCCCGTACTTCCAACGCACAGGTGGCGCCAAGGGGTTCGCAAGGAGCATGCCAACAGGTGGAGCTCTCGACAGGTGAGAGATGTCTCAAGAAATATATGTCTTAGACACGCCGAGAAGCAGTTACTCAAGCAACTGGATATGATTTCGGAAACGGTCAGACGTTTCAGGTAGTATCCACTAGCTTTCGTCAGTGACTGAAAGCTAGTGGATACTAGCTGAAACATTTTCAAAATCATATCCAGTTGCTTGAGTAACTGCTTTTTGGCGTATCATATTACCTGGATGTCTAACCTTCATCGACGTAAGATATCTAAGACTTTGATTTGACTCCTTAAATAGTTTCACTTGCTGAATCTACAGAATGTAAATAAGCTCACATAGCAGAGGCACATGGTGAGCTGCCATCAATCCTCAACAAGTACATAAAAAATGAGAATAGATAAAACATTTTATGCTTGTAACTTTCTGTTTGTAGCCTTGAAATGGTCAGAAAAGTTAGTGTTGTAGCATGTTCCATGATACTTTTTGAAATAAAAAGACCATACACACACACATTCACAGTCATTCAAAAATGCATTTTTGATAAATAACTACCATCTCAAGGTATGTATCTGAGGAGTTGAGTAATTCTTGTTTGAGTATTTTACTTTGTAGTTAGTACTTACTATTATTTGTTTTGAATGAATGAATGAATGAATGAATGAATATGTACTTGTGGTGTTGACTTTCTTTGATCCTTGTTTGTCTTTTGAACTTACAGAGTTGCGGAAGGACTGAAAGTCCCCATGTTTGAGGTCCCTACAGGTGAGTCATTTTAACTCTCAGGTGTAATTACCTCTATAAACCTTAAGCCACCAGATTACATACATTTATACTCCCCACCCTGAAAACATGGGTCTAAAGTGATCTCCAATGCCACATCTCCGTCTAGTATAACACATAATGACAAAGATATCGATAGGGATACTTTTTTTGTGAAGAGAAGGCAGTCAGCACCAAGGACAGGTCACATATACCCACCACCCTGACAAAATGTGTCTAAAGTGATCTCTAATGCAACATCTCTGTATGATAACAATACATTATAACATAGATATGGATACTGTAATGTAAAGGGAAGGCAGTCAGCACCAAGGACAGGTCAAATATACCCACCACCATTAAAATAGTGTCCAGAGAGATCTCCCATGTGACATCTCTGTAAGATAACACACATTATAACAGAGATACAGATACTACAATGTAAAGGGAAGGCAGTCAGCACCAAGGACAGGTCAAATATACCTGACACCCAGAAAAATGTGTCCAAACCAGTCTCCAATGCAATGCAGTTTATTTTCCCCAACTTGCAATTGTACTGTCTCTAACATTTTCAACAGCAAAATGTAGCCCCAGAAATGTGAAATATACAATCTAGGCAAAATCTTGCAATTTATAACATTGGCTAATTTTCTACTGCAGTCCCTAACTTCATATATTACTAATCTTAATAAGTTACAGTTCTTTGCATCAAGAAAAAGTAAGAATCTTAAGTTCCTTGCAGCAACTCATTTTCTGCGGCAGTCCCTAATGTCATATATTACTAATTTTCAATTTTTACATATTTTACTAATTTACAATTTTTTGCATCAAGCAAAACTAAGAATCTTTAGTTCCTCGCAGCACAACATAACATACAACAGGCAGAGCCAGACATCCACCATAGAGAAGTACCTAATAGTACATGTATATACAATTTAGCAGCTGTATAGCAACAAGATATTCTTTGTAAATTCAGCCTTTGCTGAAACTAGGGGTCTGTATCTGTATCAGTATGATTATTAATCAGGTATAACCATCTTTCACTTATATAACACACCAGCTTCACATGCACTTACATATAGTGGTGGCTAGTTGTATATTAAACGAAACAACAATTTACACCTTAGAGTACACAACTCAAAATATTGCTCTAATAACTTTTTACCCAGTTGCTGTCACATGACATATATGGTATGCAAGACCCAAAGACACTTCAAATTGTGGATTGAATAAAAAGATTATGCTCAAAATAAGCTTAACTTATTATCATTACCAGTTCTCCTCTTAAGACTTGAATCAAACAAAGTTTACCTTCCAGTGCTGCTTGTCATTCATTGCTGAGAGAAGTTCATGTCCTTCAAGATTTGTTCCTTTCTTGACTGTCTGAGTTTTAGGACTGTGAGTTTCATTATCATTTCCTTCTCTCCAATCCAACTTTAGGCCACACCAATTTGATTTGTTGGTTCTCTGATTTTTTAAAAAAATATAGTTAACTAGAAAAGCCTGAGTCTGAGAAAGCAGAGTCTGAGTACCTGGTTGATGCCTCGGTGGACTCAATTTTATGTAGTAAATACAGCCATATTCTAGTTTTCTTCCTAGCCCTCTCATTTTATGATGTCCGCTTGCTATCTTTTGAACTAAAAATGTCCGAGAACCAACAAAATGACTTGGTGTGGCCTTAATGATGATAAGTGCTTGGCGCCCTCCCCTCTCGTGAGATGACAGTACCACACTGCTGCTGTTGCTGATAGCTGTGAAAGATAGCGACCGTTCCCGTTGCCCAATCAGCGACCACCAGCTGCCCCTGCGGCCCCATGGCGATCGCCAGCGGCGCCCGTATGTCCGTCGCAACGTGTCTCAGGAATCTGCCTGTCTTGTCAAACAGCTCCAGAGGATTGCTCTTGCTGTTCGCCACGATGATGTTCCCCGTCTTGTCTGTACAGATGCCGTAGGGGTAGTACAGCTTGCCTTCGCCACTCTGCCAGGTTCCAAACTGGAACAGGAACTGTCCGTCCTTGTTGTACACGAAGACACAGTCGTTTCCCCAGTCGGAGACAAGCATCCTGCGATTCCTGTCCACAGTGATGTACCACGGGTGCTTCATCCCCTGCTGCCGACCCACGGTTCTCACCAGCCTTCCCTCCGGCGTGAACACCTGCACTTCACCATGTTTGTTGAACAGGCCCTCCTTGGTCTGTGTGATGAGGATGTGGTTCCTCCTGGTGTCCACGGCAACTCCTCTGTACCAACAGGACCTCTGTAGGTCCAGCTTCCTCAGCACCCTGCCCTGTTTGGTGTACTGCACGGCAAGCTCGCTGGTCTGCGTGTTCCCCACCACCCACAGGTTCCCCTCCCTGTCCATGGCCACATCATGCGGGTAGATGTGCTGTCCACCAGACCCAAACAGTAGAAAAGAGTTCACAAGTGTTCCCTGCAGGGTGAAGACTTTCAGTCTCTGGTTTCTGTAGTCTGCCACGAAGATCTCACCTTGTTCTGACACCGTCACCCCGCTTGGATCCTTGAACTGACAAGTTTCTGTCCCCTTTCCATCAAGCGTTCCACCGGCTTTGTTTGATGCACATTGCAGAGACTGGACCGTCACATGTCCCAGTACTGGCACTGAGGTGTCTGTGGGCTGAAAGACAGCAGGCTGGGCTTGTACAGGACTTGCTACTAACTTTCTGTACCTTTCCACGACTACTGCCAGAAAGGTATTCTCACCAACCCTCTCCTGCTCCAGTTCTTGTTCTGCTCGATCACAGGTAGCAGACAGTCCGTTAGTGTCTGTCAAAACTCGGTCCCTCTCGTTCTGTATCCTCTTCAAGTTCTCACGGTGTTTTTGTTCTGACTCAGACAAAAGTTGACCTTTTCTCACCGCGAGTTTCTGCACCATTTGGTCGTAGGCCTGGTTGATGCCGTTGTCCGTTTGCTGTTTCTGTTCGTTCAGTTTCTTCTCTTCCTCCCACAGACTTACGACGTAGCTTTCCAGAATGTTCCTCCCCTCGGTGATCAAGGATCGCTGTTTTAGAATCTCACACTTCCTCCCCAGTTTGTTGTTGTCTGGTAAATCTGCCGCGACACCCTGGGGGCAGCCAACAACCAGACGACAGATCGGGCACTGGAAGGTCTCAGCCCCGGCCGCATGGTGACTTAAGCAGTCCTGACAGAATGTGTGGATGCAGGGCAGCACCTTGGGCCTGGTGAACAGCTCCAGGCAGATGCTGCATGTCAGTTCTTCAAGGTTTTGTGTCCCCAAACTGGGTGATGCAGAGGCCATTTTATCTCCCAGCTGTGAACCCAAGTGTTTCATCTGACTAGAAGAACTGGTTTGTGGTACCGTAACTTGCTAAACATTCACTGTGGCTTAATTTCGCAGTATGACAAAAAACCGTGATTTCACAGTGTTTCAAGTTCAAGATTAAAACAACTGTAGCAACACAATGCAAGAAAGAACATAATGTTTGCTGCATGTTGAGTTTGTGGCAACCTCGAACATAAAACTGTTACAAATATTTCCTGATTTGCGGTAGGTTGCCAGGTCACCAGGCATAGCCAACACTGCTCTAACTTACCCCCGTAGGGCTAACAGCCAGACACATTAAAGAGATAACCTTTTAAAATAATGTCAGATGGAAGTTACTGTAGCAAACAACAATGACAAGGCTTATACATGGCTGAAATTTTATTTGTGGTGGTAACTGACATTATAAAGTTCGGTAAGAAAATTCTTTCAATCAGTGACTATTTAAAATCCTAAGGTACATACCTCCGAATTTTCGATAACTAGTCAGTTCGTCTTGATGATTGAAAGAATTTTCTTACCGAACTTGAAGTTCAACTATACGCGACTGATGAATCTCTTCAATGACATTATAAAGATTTTAGAGGCTATTTTCTGACAAAAAGCTTGTTGCTATGGCTATGTATAATGCCAAGGTCACCACTTCAAGCCTGAAATTACTATTCTTCACTGGTTGTAATAATATATTATTAGGTTTCTGACCTGATATTATTGAATTGAAGAAACTGATAGATGTTACTAAGTATACAGTGAATTTACCTTGTTTTTATATTCGACTAAATGTCATGGCTAGGGGAAAGGAGTTTTTAAATGTTTTAAGTTCACACTTGAAACAACACAGACAGGCTTATACTTGGCTGAAAATTTATTTGTGATTGTAATTGACATCATATACATTTTATACACTATTTTTTGACACAAAGTTTCTGGCAACAAGCTTGTTGCAATGTCTTTAATGTCAAGGCCGGTGGTCACCACTGCAAGCCTTAAATTACTATAATTCCTCTCACTGGTTGTAATAATATATATATCAGGTTTCTGACTTAAGGTTGTTGAATTAAAAGAATACTGAACAGTCAATTTACCCATTTTTTTATATTTGACTTAATGTCACTATAAGAGGAAAAAGGATTTTTTTTTTTTAGTTCACATGATGAAATGATATTCTGTAGTGCAGTGTCTGAATACAATGGAAGCATATTCCCTGCATGTGTGTCAGGAAAAATTACCACTAAAATAAAACCATGACAAACATTTCTAGATTTACTGTATAACAAGGCCAGATCAAAGCATAGTCTTGGATATACATGATGTATTATCCTTATACTAAAACACAACACAACATGATTGTACAGTCACTGTATGTGTAGTGACTGTATTATATTCTGGGGTAGTGCTTTACAGTACTGGCACCTACGTACGTTGTTATGGTATAATGAGACATAATAGTTTTCCTTAAATGTCACTTTATCTACAGGCTCTTTGTGTTTATACAAATCAGGACTCTAGGTTGGCCTTCAGGTTAACAATGGTGCAACTTTGATACAAATTATGCATGCCTACAGGGTAGCTTATAGCATAGTCACAGAAATCTGAGTAAGTTCTGTATTTTTCAACGCTAATGTAGAACACAGACATGTCTACAACATTTATCATGCATGAATTCTTCCTTCAGCAGTTAAAGTATATATTACAGCTATCA